AAGTCCATTATCCTAACCTTAGTCAAAATGGAGCAACGTCTCTCTCTCTCTCTCTCTCTCTCTCTCTCTCTCTCTCTCTCTCTCTCTCTCTCTCTCTCTCTCTCCAAACTCTCTCTACCATCTACCCATGGCGAGGGTTATCGTTATCGGCTGGAGCGCGCGGATCAGGAATGAAGCCGACGTAACCATCGTTTTGCGGGTTGGGCCACCTCATGCGCATCGCCTCCTCGAATTCCACCGGCAGTCTCTGACGGCGAGTGTAACCACAGAGGTTTGCGAACTCCCTGTACCCTGCGAATCTGTTAGCCGCTACATCCAGTCGATCGTTTCCCACGAGGAGTATGCAAAAATTGGTCATTGCGGTCCTCCTAACCCACAATCTGTACCGCGGTTTCAACCACACGCAGGATGTGGCCATGCTGCCCGTATTTCTTCCCCGTTCATATGCGGGGGAGGAAGTCGTGGGCGACGGGCCGCGATGAATGCTGGCCCAAGACCGGGGCCCCCTCGACCTCGCACAACTCTACGTCTCGATCGAGGACCGTACACCATGCCCCCATCATCTTCGTTGTTCGGTGCTTGAGGTTGTTCCTACTCCATTGTAGTGTCGCGTTGTGAGTATCTGCAACAGATGCGGTGAAAGTTAGTGTTGGTCCGCGGAACATGGAAAAGAAATGTCGAAAAAAATATTCTCCATTCTATACAGAGTATGGCGGACAAATGGTAGAACTAAACGTAAGCGGGATGGCAATACGGATAGTAATAACTTACACGAACCGAAAAAACAAAACTGTTCTCCGCAGGACCACAGGTGATTGAGAAAAAAAAAAACAGTAGTTGAAAGGAAGAACGAATGGAAAAAAAAAACATAAAAATTTAGAAATCGTTTTTGTTATTTCCGACCACTACGCTCTTAACTAGATCCACGAGTCGAAGTTCGAGGGGCCGGGACAACGGCAGGACTGTTTTTGCTTCTTCAACTTTTGAGATGTTCGTCTTCACAGGCAGCAGAGTTATGATCCTCGTCAACTCCCGAACCCCGACACGACATGGAAACATACGACCCAGAGTTGTCCCGGGATGCACTGACTGAGTCGGGCGTCTGGGTCGTGCTTCCTGATAGGGAGGGCGCAGCTTGTGGCAAAGAGAAACCGAGTTCGACTTCAGTGCCGCCACGAACGTCGTGCCCTGAAACAAGGAACGAAGTCGAAGGTGTAGGGGAGTCGACACGAGGCTTGCCCTCCTCGCGCAGCAGACGTTGCTCACGGATTGTGCAAATAGCCTCCTGATTTTCCAATTCCATTTTTTTTTTCTCGCAAGGACGAAACAATTGCTTGCACCCGTGAATCCAATGTCGACATCACAGCACGTGCGGTGTTCAGGTCGTTTGTCACCGTCTCAAGATGTTTATCTATGTCGTCGAGGTCATATTTGCCTTCATTGCCTTCTAGATTTGACAGGTCGACGCCGTCCGTTTGCATGGTGGCAGATGACGCATACGGTCACGGAGCGAAACCTTTTCGCGGTCATCATGAGGATTCGTGACACGTCCACAGAATGAGCAAAGTGATATCTGGAAACAAAAAACAAGAAATTTGGTCATCATGACTGGTCGAGGCCTTCTAGAACTGTTTGTTGATATATATATATATATATATATATATATATATGGTAACCACCCAGTACGTACGGAGGTCCCCGGGCAGACCTCCGTACGTACGGGCGTTCGGGGTCCTGTACGGGGTCTGAGGCCGACGTTGTTCGGCCCCCGCTTCGGACCCAAAAAATACTTTTTTTTTTTTTTTTTTTTGTCATTTCTCTATCACATGAGGCACACGTCTGTAAATTTTGAAGTCATTTGGCTCAGCGGAATCAGAATTACAAATCGCCAAAGATGGCGGTGTCGAAACATGCTTGGCGATGTTTTTTTTTCACTTTTTACTTTTGAAACTTTTTTTGTGTGTTTTGCATTATGTGAAGTACACATATCTAAATTTTCAGGGCATTTAGTTATTCAAAAATATATATATATATGCCAAAGATGGCGGTGTCCAAAACGTCGTCACGAACCCATTAATTGTTTTTTATTTTTTATTTTTTTTAATCAGTTTTTCGTTTTTGTAATTTGTTTTTATTTCAAATTTCGCAAGGAATTTGGATGTAATGATCAGGCAAATATTGTACTTTATTTTTCTTCATAAGATATCTTTTGTTCATATTTTTGTGATGACTTTTTGTTGGTTTTTTTTTTTTTTTTTTTTTTGGGGGGGTTGCCGAACGCCCGAACGGCCGAACGCATCCCCAAGGGGTACCATACGTTCGGGCGTTCGGGCGTTCGGGTTCGGGCGTTCGGCCCGGCCCGTCCAGCGTCCCGGAGTGTTTTCATTTTTATATAACCATGAACATATATATATATATATATCGTCACAATCAGAATTGCCCGGTAAACCGCAAGCAGAGAGAGAGAAGAGGACAACAAACGAGGTGCTGTGACAAACTATATATATATATATATATATATATATATATATATATATATATATACGTTCATATTTTTTTTTTCTCATCCCGGAATGTTTTCATTTTTATATAAGCATGAATGTGTACATATAACAAAATAAAAGGATATTGTTGTTTTGGTAAATGTTGTGAATGCCATGTACCTATATCAGATCCATAGAAGCAAACTTTGAACGTACCTATACATAAAAAAGTCACTATATATATATATACATATATATATATATATATATATATCATATACAGGGTCACCAGCCCGTACGTACAGAGGTCCCCGGGCAGACCTCCGTACGTACACCGTACGGGATCCGAACCTGACGGCGTTCGGCCCCCGCCAAAAATTATTTCGGGGCCTAAACATAATTATTTTTTTCTGAATTATTATTTGTGAGTTCTTTATAACGTGAGGTATATGCTTGTAAATTGTCAAGTCATTTGGCTAAGCCAAATAAGAATTAAAATTCGCCAAATATGGCGGTGTCAAAACGTGCTCGCCCACGTATTGTTTCACTTTTTACTTTTTGTTTTCACTTTAGTTCGGGGTCTAAACAATTTTATTATTTTTTGAAACGTTTTTAGTGGTTTTTTTATTATGTGAAGTACACATATTTAAATTTTCAGGGCATTTAGCTATGCCAAGCAAAAATGAAAAATCGCCAAAGATGGCGGTGTCGAAAACATGCTCGCGCACTCACTACATTTAATTATCTTTTTATTTTTATTTATTTTTATTATTAGTATTTGTTTTCTGTATTTTATTTTTCTTTCAAATTTGGTAAGGAACTCGGATGTAATGCTCAGGCAAATCTTGTTGAATTTATTTTTCTCCATAACATATCTTTTTTTCATATTTTTTTGATGACTTTTTTTGTTTTTTTGTTTTTTGTTTTTTGGATCCGCGTTCGGCCCGAACGGCCGAACGCATCCCCGAGGGGTCCCATACGTTCGGGCGTTCGGCCCGTCCCGAACGCCGGTTACCCTGTATGTATATATATATATATATATAACGTCACAAACAGATATATATATATATCGTCACAAACAGAACTGCCCGTCCAAAGAAGAACATTTTTCAGACGGGGGCCGAACGCCGCCGGGTTCGGAGGCCGTACGGGACCCCGAACACCCGTACACACAGCCGTCTTCCCAGGGACCTCCTTACGTATGGGATGGTGAATATATATATATATATATATATATATATATATATATATATATATATATATATATATATATATATATATACTCACTGCCTGATAAAGGGAAAAAAAAAAAAAAAAATTAAAAACAAAACACTGCCAAAATGGGGTTCGGCTTGGTTGTGTTGGGAACGGAACAGCAGATAGGCGGACGTGGTACTGAAATATACTGCAAAGCATTCACAAATAAGGGTAGATGTGCTTAGTTTAGACTGTGTTACTGTTCAAGTCTCAGAGTGATCTGCATGCACAATAAGAATTGGCATGCTTAGTTAGACTGTGTCTCTCTAGACTTTCCCACATATCCTTTTGGTGAGAGCAATACGTGTATACAAGAACGACACTGTCGTAGGTTAGCAGTTTTGTACCTGTAACAGGTAACCATGTCAGTAGGTCAGCAGGTTAGCAGTTCCCTGTAACTGCGTCGTGTTGTTCAGAGGAGACAGTTCCTTTTTTGGAACTTGTTTTGTGATGTTAGGGAAGCCAGACCCGTTTGCCGGCTTGTATAATTCAAATACGGCCTCGGTGTGAACCACGCAGGAGTCCGTGGATCACAAAAAAATATATATAATAATAATAATAATAATAATAATAATAATAATAATAATACATATTGCAGTGGGTTTTTACTGCGCCGTGTTTTTTTGTGTATATCGGCCCCGTCAGACTGATGTTAGGGCCCAATGCTAAAGGCAATATATGGAAAATGCTAGGGTGCCAATATATATATACTACGCTACCGGAGAGGCCCGGGGTGACATGGCCGGCCGTGGAAAAAAATGTGAAAAAAAAAAGGATTTGTATATGTATATTTCGATGTCAGCCTGAGGCAAAAGTTGTTGAAAAATTTATTTTCTGCATATCATAGTTTTTTTTTTTTTGTATTGAGTTTTTGGTTGTTTGCGTTTTTTTTTATGTCAACTTTTCGCCTCTTTACAAGCCACGTGTCACTCATGGCTGCCTTATCCGCCGTCACGATAGTAGCGGTCACGTTTCTCCGTGCCCAACCAAGCCACCATCACCTTCATCGCCCTTTCCTGACTTCGTACACGAACGACGGCAAAAAATACCAAAATACTCTTTACTACTCTTTATTGAAGACGAGATCCGAAAAAATAATATTCTTTCACAAAATGAAGTATTCAAATCTCGACAACCTACAAACTAAACCGCCTACAAAATTGCACCTCCAACGCCACCATCCCCTCCTTCCTCGTCTCCTCCATCTTCACCACCTCCCCCTTCCTCATCGCCGCCATCTGCACCCCCTCCCCCCTCCTCATCGCCACCATCTTCAAGCCATCCCCCTTCGTCATCGTCGCCATCGTCACCCCCTCCGCCTTCGTCGTCGTTGGTGGGAGGCGACAGCAGGTGACCGTTTGGCGGAGGCGGGAATGTCCATGCAAGGAAGTGCGAATATGTGGCGGATATGGCCGCCCAGCCGGTCAGACCGCGCGTCGGATCGCCCCCCCAACCACCATTTAGCTCGGTTAGGTCTTGCGGAAGGTCCCCCCATCCCTCCGCATGATGCAAGGCTGTGTCCGCCGTTGATTGGCCAAACACGCCAGAGGCCGCTGATGGAGAGGATGGGGAAGCGGGCGGTGGTACGAGATTCGTGACGGGAACGGGGTTCGCACGAATCCCCCCCCCGCCATGTGCACCTTACGAAGACGACGACGGCAATGAAGCCGTCGCAGGTGGGGACGCCGCGCCGCTTTCATCGGCCACCTGTCTCTCTCTCTCCCCCAGCTCTTCCTTGTTTTTTGTTTCGAAGAAGAAGAAGAAGCGAAAGAAGAATAAGAAGACGAAGGAGACGAGAAAAAGACGAAGAAGTGAAAGAAGAACAACTCTCTGTATTCCAAGAACAAGAACAAGATGACGAATGGAAACAACAAGAAGAAGAACACGACGAAGCGAATGAAGGAGAAGAAAATGAACAAGAAAGAAGAACAAGGAGACCTACAACGAAGAAGAAGCGAAAGTAGAAGAAGAAAGACGACGAGGCGGAAGATGAACAAGTAAGACCAGCAAGAGAAAAAAGAAGAACAAAAAAACGAAGAAGAAAGAAGGAGGAAAACACCAAGAACGAAGAAGAAGAAGAAGAAGACGAAGAATGAAGAAGAAGTAGACCAAAAACGATGAAAAATAAGAAGACAACCAAGAACGAAGAATCTCTCTCTCTCTCTCTCTCTCTCTCTCTCTCTCTCTCTCTCTCTTTTCTCTACCCTCCGCGATGCGGACGCATCGTACGGAACTCTTTACGAAGAAGTCTCTCTCTCTTCTTTCCGAACGAACGTACGAAACATATATATAACAGACAGAGAGAGAGAGAGAGAGAGAGAGAGAGAGAGAAAGAGAGATCCACGGTGGCGAGAGAGAGAGAGAGAGAGAGAGAGAGAGAGAGAGAGAGAGAGAGAGAGAGAGAGAGAGAGAGAGAGAGAGAGAGATCCACAGTGGCGGCGTGCGCGGCAGGCCATCGTGGAAGGGGGTATGTACTTTGAGGGGTTGGAAGGGGGGCGTAGAAGGGGGAAAGGGGAGGTAGGAGGCGGTGGAAGATGGGGGGTCGAACACCCTGTCCAAGCGGTGTGCNAGGCGGTGGAAGATGGGGGGTCGAACACCCTGTCCAAGCGGTGTGCCCATCGGACTCACCGCGTGTAGCTGTCGCCGATGCCTGAGGTGACAGAGAGATAGACGCCTATCGTCTAAGTCCAACCCCGTAAGACATCGACGATGGCAACAGCCATCGTTTTATATCTATCTGTCTTGAGAGAGAGAGAGAGAGAGAGAGAGAGAGAGAGAGAGAGAGAGCAACCGTTCATTACAGATATGCATGTCGTCGCGACATGCATATGTCTATGTCTACCACGATGTGACGATCCCGCAGGACGTCAACCAACCGCGACATGCACCGCGACGTGCCACGTGTGTACTCAAACGCGCACGATGACCCGGTACCGTCGCGCCGCATCTCGCTGTGTACTGCCTGTAGTGGAGAGGTGAAGTGGCTTGCACGAAACGACCGCGTCGTATCAGCCGCGGTAAACCATGGGCACGAAAAAAACAATAATAATAAAAACAAAAAAACATTACAGAAGGAAAGTGAAAACAATCCGATAAGTGATGCAAAACACTTCGCCAAATAACAAAAGCGAAAAAAATACAAAAATAATTCAATAAAATAATATAAAAGAAAATAATACAACCAACTTCATTCCTCAAAAAATGTTTTCTTTTTCATTTCTTATTTCTTTTCGGTTGTCCGGATCCGTGAACATGGACATCGTGCAAGACGACGTCGTTCCTTACCACCGGCCCTACCGTGTCCCACATTCGAAACGCCACATCGGGATGGGACTCGGTAGGCCGTGAAAAACCGGTCGTCCGACCAAAAAACAGCGACCGCGCACTGCAGGTCGTCCGAGGGTTTTCGGTGGCGGGGGGACCTATGGTTTAATCAGAAATAAAATATTTGGTCGGCGATCACACTGACTTTTCAATCATCAATCAAATAAAGAGATCATGCGCGCCTCAAATCTGCGAGCGCACACACTCTCTACTCTAGTCATCCATTCAATCATTGTAAATGACAGACACAGCCGCGCCTCGCGCGATACTTAAACTTTAAACCAAACCTATTTTCTGTTGCTTACCAAAACCAGGGCGGATACCCTTGTAAGGGTATTCGCACCAATAGCACGGCCTCCGCCGCGGTCGAGGGGGACATATAGGTGGGTGGCTAATCGCATGGCATCCGGCGGTTATCCTCAGAGGACTACGGAGGATTGACGTAAGAAGTGGACGTCCATGTTGTCGAAGGCGAAACTCATCCTTGACAAGTGTGAGAATACATCGGGCCTTTCGTCCTACTGGGACATGGACTTTGACAAGTAAAGGAATTGCAGGTGCCTCTCGCTTTTGAGAAACCACTGTGGAATGCCATGCAATGGAAACTGAACATACCATCTATGACGTACGACCAGACATTGGGCTTTGAGGACCAACCGGGAGTGGGAGAAGGAACGTTGCCTTCGGGGAGAAATGGATCCGGAAAAAGCGGGTTTGAGGCAAGAGGAACGGACAGCTCAGAGGGCGCATCGAAGGTGTAAAGAACGTCGTTAGGGAAAACTAGGGTGGACGATGCAAAGACCAGCGGATCGACTTTCGCTAGGGCGATAGAGGAGTCGAAACGATCCTACTGCGATGGTCTTGACAAGGCTGCTTCTACATTGGCGAAGGCAACCTCGGATGTTGGGACTATGATGGTGGCGAAGATCGGTGATGTGGTGGAGGCGATAAGGGGAGGGAACATTGTCCTCGAGATGCTCGTAGCGGTTCTCGCCCGCCGCTATGTGGGGTCTGCCGGTGGTGACGATAATGGTAGGGCCACAAACCCCTCGTCTACCATATATATATATATATGAGCAACGACACAGTGGATCGGTACCAGGCGGAACTGTATGGGGTCACACACAGACATAGAAAGGCATATATGTATTTTCGTATCTGCGTGTGGGCCCATGCGGTTTGCCGGGTACTGATCCAATGTGTCACCGTCACATGATCCTGTAGGAACCGCTCGGACTGGCAGCGGGTCGGGGGAGGTCGTCATTATTTAATTGACCCCCACAAATGGTTAACGACGACCTCCATTTTCAGCTCCTGACTAATGGGACCAAAACTGAAATTAGGGTTTCTCAATTTTTGGTTTTTTGGTTTTTTGTTTTTTTGCCTGTTTTTGTTTTGGTTTAAGGTTGCTGTCTGCCAAATTTGGTATTATTTGGGTTATTAGAATTTGTGCTG